ATCATCTGCATACAGGTGATACTGAAACATAAAATTCCAGATGATCTCTCCCAGCGGTTTCAAGTAGCTGTTAACTTACTTACTTACTTACTTAGGCGATCCCTCGTTGGACGAGTAAGATGGTCTTCCATTATGGATTTCCTTGTGGGTCCGTATGTGGCTGTGGAGCCCTATTCTTGCTCTGCATCTTCTTCCGCAGTGAGGGCATTGGTTTCCAGGTGGAAGGCGGTCCCGGTCGGGGTTGGCTTGACGCGCCTTCCTCCTGGCACGTTTCTCTCTTTCACCCTCCACTCGTGCCTCCTCAAATTCTGCAGCACTGCTGGTCACAGCTGACCTCCAGCTGGAGCGCTCAAGGGCCAGGGCTTCCCAGTTCTCAGTGTCTATGCCAGAGTTTTTAAGGTTGGCTTTGAGCCCATCTTTTAAATCTCTTTTCCTGTCCACCAACATTCCGTTTTCCGTTCTTAAGTTCGGAGTAGAGCAGCTGCTTTGGGAGACGGTGGTCAGGCATCCGGACAACATGGCCGGTCCAGCGGAGTTGATGGCGGAGGACCATCGCTTCAATGCTGGTGGTCTTTGCTTCTTCCAGCACACTGACGTTTGTCCGCTTGTCTTCCCAAGAGATTTGCAGGATTTTCCAGAGGCAGCGCTGATGGAATCGTTCCAGGAGTTGCATGTGACGTCTGTAGACAGTCCACGTCTCACAGGTGTATAGCAGGGTTGGGAAGACAATAGCTTTATAGACAAGCCCCTTGGTCTCCCTACGCATGTCCCGGTCCTCAAACACTCTCTGCTTCATTTGGAAATGCTGCACTCGCAGAGCTCAGGCGGTGTTGTATTTCGGTGTCGATGTTGACTTTGGTGGAGAGGTCCCCCACCCCAAATCAAAATCCTGGCTAGGGCCTGCCCCGGAGTGTGGTGGAGGCTCCTTCTTTGGAAGCTTTTAAACAGAGGCTGGTGACTGCTGGAACAGCACCTTGGTTTTCTCAATGTTCAGTGACAGGCCGAGCTTCTCGTATGCTTTTGCGAAGGTGTTTAGAGTGGCTTGTAGATCTTCTTCTGAATGCGCACAGACGACATTGTCATCAGCATACTGGAGTTCTATAACAGCTGTTGTTGTAACCTTGGTTTTGGCTTTCAGTCTGCTGAGGTTGAATAGCTTGCCATCTGTCCAATAGATTATTTCCACTCCGGTGGGAAGCTTCCCATCAACAAGGTGAAGTATCATAGCGATGAAGATGGAGAATAGAGTTGGGGCAATAACACATCCCTGTTTGACACCGGATTCCACTTTAAATGGGTCACTTTGGGAGCCATTGCTGTCCAAGACTGTTGCCATCATGTCATCATGGAGGAGCCGCAGGATGTTCACAAATTTGTTTGGGCACCCGATTTTCTGGAGGATGGTCCAGAGAGCGCTGCGATTCACTGTGTCGAATGCCTTTGCAAGGTCGATGAATGCCATGTACAGAGGTTGGTTTTGTTCTCTGCATTTTTCTTGGAGCTGTCTTGCAGTGAAGATCATGTCCACGGTTCCTCTGGAGGGGCGGAAGCCATTCTGGGATTCTGGGAGGGTGTCTTCTGAGAGGGGCAGAAGGCGGTTTGCAAGGATTCTTGCGAGGATTTTCCCAGCGGAGGTTAGAAGGGAGATACCTCGATAGTTTCCGCAGTCTGTTCTTTCCCCTTTTTTGAAGAGGGTGATGATGGTGGCGTCCTTGAAATCTGCTGGGATTTTCTCGGTCCCCCACACTTTTTCTATGAGCTGGTGGAGTTTTTTGATTTCTCCCTCTTTGCTTATTTGGATGTCAACCCACACTATTTGTTTCTCCATAGAGACCTAACGGTGAGAGATGGGCTTCAGGACAAGATTAAGTCTTAGTATGTGGATCAGACTTTTCACGGTCCTCCTCTTTAAAGATCGTTCCAGCCAGCGGAATACCTCATTGGTCCACTAGGCTTGATATATTCCTTCTGGCCTGCCCTGAGGCAGTTGAATGCTGAATTTTACTTCCAAAACCTAGGCATGTGCTGCAAGCCCTCATTACCCTGGTTTGTTGTATGTGGAGATTTCCTTTGTCCGAGAGCCGACCTCTTCGGCCACATTAAGGAGCTTATCCTGCATAGGCTCTCAGGAGGCTACAATTACGATACAGTCGTTTCTTTCAAACGCCTAGTGCAATTGAGTTTTGGCTCACCTTTCAGTGAGTCGCTATCTTTAGGCTTCCATATCGCATTTTTTTTGTCTTTTTTTGGACGTAGAGGCTGTATAGCCATGCGTTTAATGGCTCCCTATTAGGATGACCTTATGTCGGCCTTTGAAAATACCCTGCGAGCATTATATAGCTGGTATTCCTGCCAGAGATTGTATTTTGTTGTTTTTTTTTTTTTTTTTTATTTTCGAGTTTCCTGTCTGAGGCCTATCTTTGTCCACCAGATAGTTCTTGAGTATCTCTTGTCCTTTAGGACCTCAGCTTTCCTGCACAATGGCATCAGATCCTTTTTCTTAGCCAGCCACAGTGACGTGTCCTACCTGCTCGACATGACATTGGAAGGCCTTTCCTTTTCTATGTCAATGTCAGCGTTATGGATACTCCGAGTCATTTTCACAAACCAGTCTTTGGAATGCTTTCCCTTGAGCCTTGCGTATAACAATCCAGTTTTTCTTCGCAGGCCGATTGGCAATGATGTTGAGGTCTTACAGCTTTGTTTCAACATGCTTCCTCGACATTTTCGGCAGCGGTGCTTAGTCGTTTGTGTACAGTAGCCGCATAAGGATCCACTTGAGCTGCCGATGTTTCAGGAGATAAAAGCCGGCCGGACTACGTCTGAATGAAAAACAGGACAGATACTGAATGGGCCTTGGGATACGCTTCATTTTGCTCGTCCTTGTCTTCCATTCACTTGAGAGCATGCGTCTTTAGGAGCGATTCCTGATAGCTACTCGAAGGACCTCTCGAATTAGCCTGATCGGTTTTCTCTTTTTTTGTTTTATCATGGTCAGCTCAGCCAGTCGTCGCACCTGTCATTGGGCTTCTTCGTTTGCTAGTAGCGAGCACGTCACAGATCTTCAACGCAACTGCTTTCATGTAGTCCCATTTTACTAATCCTCGTAGCGCAGTGATACAATTGCATAGTCTAAAGGTGCCAATGATTTGACCAGGGGTACTGCCATGACATCTTAAGCTTGTTTTTCTGGTGGAAGAGTGGGTTTGTGATGACAAGGTTGTGTTCCGCACATTTGGTGAGAAGCAGGATGCCATTTGAGTTGCTTTTTCCAACCCCATCGTTTCCCATGGTCCCTGGCCACAGGTTGAAGTGTCATCCAACTTTAAGGCACTTTTCTAGCTCTCTCCCCATGTGGAGTGAGCAGACTGAATCCAAAAAAGGGCTGCTCAGTTGTGGACTCAGCTGCCAGAATACTCAACTGCCTTGGACCTTGAGGTAGAACGACTGAATCCAAGTCTTAGAATTTATATCCTTGAATGTCTTCGTGTCAGCAATCTCAGTGGTTAAGCGTGCATAGGCACTTATGATGGTTGCCCGTTGGTTTTTGGCAAGATCGATTCGGAGGGTTGAGAGTCGTTCGTTGATGCCAGTGGGTGCTTCGGACAGATGTTTCATCAGATCATTTCTGATGGCGAAGCCAACTCCGTGCATTCTTTGGTCTTTTTCAGGCAGTCCCTTCCAGAAGAAGGTGTAGCCTCCTTTTCTTCCTTCAGCTGTCCCTCTCCTGCTCTCCGGGTCTCCTGAAGGGCTGCTATGTCGATGTTGAAGCGTCCCAGCTCCCTTGCAATGATGGCAGTTCTGCGTTCGGGGCGTTCACTGCCACTGTTGTCCATCAGAGTCCGTACGTTCCACGTACTGAAATTCATTTTTCTTTTTTGGCCGCAGGGTGGTGACCCCACTGGACGCGGCAGTCCAGTCAGGGATAAGTGAGGCAGACTATGTTTAGGGCACCTTTTCTAGCCCCCTCCCCGTGTGGGGTGAGCAGAGTGGGTCCTAAAAAGGGCTGCTCAGTCGCGGATACAGCTGCCGAACTACTCAACTGCCTCGGACCTTGAGGTAGAACGACTGAGTCCGTACCCACCGCCCATGTGCCAGTCTGTGACTAGGGGCTTCCAGATTTCACAGTCCTGCCCCCGTCACCACTCTGCTGATCGCCAATCGCGGACTGTTGGTTATGAGTTTGTTTTATATTTTATTTGGAATGGACGCCCCATGTGCCGGAGGTTTTCTTTTAATTTAATGGCTGCGAGCGTCAGCCTGCAAAACTGATGCACAACACAGCATCTTCACACGCAGTGAGATATCTAGTTTCCACTGGCTGCAATGTAGTTGTATAACACATAATGCAACGTTCGGCTTCTCACGTCGTGTTTGCAGCCTTTCGGTTAACTTATCGCCCTTCCGCCAGCCGTTAGTAACACTGTTACCATGTCTAATATCCTACCGCCCTGCTCGCCAAGTTATGAGAGGGGTCTATCTGGCGCAACACAGCAGTAGACATGTGTTAATCCTATTTTCCTTGGGACTGGAGGGTAGTAGTGCAAGGATGAGAAACTGTCAAGAATGAAGGAGCTAAACTGGCTCCCAGGTGACTTTGGATACTTCCCCAAAAACCCTTTTAAAAATAGTTTTGTCTCCAGCAGCTCCTAGAAGGTTTGGGAGCAATTTGTCTGCTTTTCATCCTCTTTGGGCTATTTTAGATTCAGAACAGGCCTTTCTCCCACAATGGGATATGACATGGAAATCCTGTTCACTTTTTTTTTTTTACATTCCCGCGTTGGGGAAGAGGGGGCGCTTAAGTGCAAAAGTTGTCTTACGTACCCCCAGGGTTATTGGAGGTATCTGGGCACAAATAACTGGGCTAGGAACTGCAGGCAGCCCACATTCCCAGCTACAGCAACAGTGGGTTCTAAGGACAATGCAAGTGGAACAGAGGCTGCAAGAATATGGAATAAGGAATAGCCTGAGGCATCAGCCAACGTGACCCTTGTTCTCTTACAGTACCAGAGGGAATACAGTACCTGTTCTTTGAGCAACTTCTGGCGCAGCAGTTCTTTTTCTTGCTCTTGTTTAGCTCGTAGCTCTCGTTCTTCTTCGTCCTGCTTCCGGGCCCGAGCCACATGATACTGAGCTTGACTCAGCAGATCAGAACACTGCCTATCAAGTTCAAGTTAGATTTGCAGACAAAAGCAGAAATATAATGTGAAAAAGTCCCACTACAGTGCCAAAGACAGACACTTTCAATAAAAAGGAGGAGTTTATAGCTGAAGACTCAAAGTACTTAGTCATGAGGAAATTGTATTGTTTAAGCAAGAACCTAGTAATCACATGCATATGCTGTTAAGGCTTTATTCATTAGCTTCCCTGAAACACCATCAAAGAGTCCAGACAGTTTTAAAGATGTCAAAGATACGTTTGGCAGCAGCAATTGCTACTGGACAAACCTAGCTTCAAATATTGCTCTGTCTTCGTGTCTTCATGTCATTTCCTAGAAATATTTATCTTTCTGACATGAATGTTTATACTTCAATCATTTAAAATTACATTGCTTTAACTGTGTTCTGAGCTGCATCTCTTTTCTAAGGGAGTTGAGAACTTTTTTTATATGGAAAAAGTAGTTTAGAGCTTCCTTTTGTTTAAAAGCCACTAAATGAAGCTACCAGAGAATTTTAATAGTTTAATCCAATAGCAAAAACAAATTCCACTAAACATCTTTAATAAGCTGCGAAATAAGTTTATTAAAACTGCATGACAACTATTCTAAGAAGAAAACTAGAATTTTCTTTCATGACCTCGGCATCAACATCACCAAAAAGATCAATGACTATAATTAGTTTCTGGTAGTTAGTTGTTAGATTGACACACCCCAAACATCAGTCTTGTGATATCTTGAAGACTACCTCTCTGACATAGCTTTCATGAATGGCGCCCAGTTTGCCACATACTTACATCTGATGAAATACATGGTAAAACTTAACCAAATATCTTAATTTTTGAAGCTTTCACAGGATTCTCTTGTTCTTACTATCATTAATATATCAAGGCCCTTACTGGGACATTATAAGCAATATTCTGCTCCAACATCTTCCCATACTAGAGGGGTTCAAATGGCTGGCTGCTTCAGCTTCCTGTTCAGAAGACAGTTGATCCTGAAACCAATCTTTTGCCCCAAACATAAGTGTAGATATAGACCAGGGCTCTGTTTAGTTCGGATTTTGAAGTAATGCATATCATTCCATCCAAGCATTATACAAATAAGAAAGCAGGCATATTTTAAAATCTATCCCAATTCTTAAGTATGGTAATATAGAGAAAGAACTACTCTTACCTGGCTTCAGTTGCAGCAAGTGCCAAATCAAATCTCATTTTATCTCCTACTTTACTCAAGTAACTGAAGTATCTGAATGGAAAATGAAAAGTCAGGAATCATTTTTTAATCTGATGCATGCTGACAGTCCTTCTTTTGAATCAAAACAGGTTTTCTATGTTAAACAAAATCTTGAACAATTCAGAAACAAAATATACTACATGTAATTCTATATTTAGGACTGGACAAATGTTGAGGGTCAAAAAGTCTTTTTTAATCTCACCTGTACCTTTGGATTGCTCCCTTCCAGCCCCTCCAAAACAGAATTTGCATTCTAAATGTATTCTAAACACATCTAAGTGTCCATGGCGAAAATGCTCTGGGGAGGTGAAATTACAGCACATCCTCCAGAAGGCAACTAAGGATATAATTTCCCATTTTGGAGAATACATTTTGGGAATGTTCGGTATGGTTGAACAGGGCTTAGGGGGTTGGCCGCATCTTTGTTATACCTTGTTTATGTCAATCTCACTATATTTCTGTTTTTCTCAAGTGGAAATCTCAACTACTGGGAGAAGAGGCCGGTACTTGTCACAGGAAATCCTGCTCACACCCATACCTTTTGCAAAAAGCGTTGGAATAGTATGTGAAAATAATTGGCTGTATATGTGGTGAGAGATTAAGTCAAAATAGGAGCTCACCTATTTTAAAGGAAGCTTCCAGTTCAGAAGCAATACTGGTATCTAAGAGCCAAGTACAGTTTGCACCTAGTTGACTAGTGTGGTTTCTAAAAATGTTTTGCCTGTGTACAGGATGATACTCTGAGTGTATCAGCCACCTTGTCACTCCCAGTACTTTCTAGACTCTGATGGGAACCTCCACGTTTGTTGATTTAACCACAACCAATCTGCCTAACCAATCCACCAACTGAAGATTTAGACAACAGCAATTGAAGCCAGCCATTAAAACAAGGAACTCTGCTACCTTCCAACTTTATGTAAGTATTACTCAGTTCATTAACTTGGTGGGGATCATTTTTGCAACCTACTGAAATAAAACTGACTATTTGAAAGACTACATCTCTACATATAGATCACATGAGCAGAGCGATCAGCGGAGGAGGCCCTGCTCTCAGTCCCACCCCTGTCTCGAGCATGGTTAGTGGGAATGAGAGAGGCTCTTCTTCATGATCGCTCCCTGCCTCTGGAACTCTCTCCCTAAAAAATTAAAAATGGCTCTCTCCCTCCTCCTCTCCTTCAAAAAGCTCTTAAAAACTCACTTATGCATTTTAGCATATGGAGAGGAGGAGGATTAATTATTCCTTGATATATTCCTCTGCCAAATTTGTAAGCTGCATACCATCTAAGCTCAAACAATTATTTTAGTCCAATTTTTAAGGAACTCACTATGTTGTAAAGTATGAAATGTATTATGTTTGTTTATTTTAACCTGTTACAATTATTATTATTATTATTATTATTATTATTATTATTATTATTCATCTAAAAGCTGTTGTATAGGCGTTTCTATTACTCTAATGAAATTCTTATTTATTTATTTATTTATTTATTTACAGTATTTATATATCGCTTTTCTCACCCCTGAGGGGTCAAAGAGGTTTACAAATGCCTTACATATGTAAACCAAACCACAAATCAACACCATATAACTAAGCATAAAATAAATAAGACAATTCACTATAAGATAAGGGGAAAAGACATTTAAAACATGAAATATAAGAATTAAAACGTCTAGTAAAAACATTAAAATTGCTAAAACTTCCTAAAGCAAAACTTTGTTTTAAAAGATAACATTTAGCAAAAAATGTTGAAAAATTTACAAAGCTGTAAAAAGTAACCAAGTGTGGTTAAACTGGATTCTGGTATTTACAACACAACAATGATTGTCAAAACAACTTATAGGGCACATACCTATGAGCCAACTCCAGTTCTTTCACAGCATTTAGTACTTCTTTCAAGTTACTTTTTTCATCTTTCAGGACAGAGGTGGCCAGCCTTTGCAGGACCAGGGCAACATTGAACATAAGAACTGTATCACTGGGAGCCACATGTCTAGCCTGAGGATTCAAATTAAGCTCTGAATTATATGGGTATGCACCAGCAACCCCTCCAACATGCATGAGACAGTACTATAAAACAGCCATTTTAAAAAAAATCCAGTTTTTACCTTCAGCAGTGTCTGCTTGCATTCTTGTAGCTTCCCACATTTGAAGAGAGCACGGGCCAAATACAACAATACTTCAGTGTTCTGGTGTTTATAGAATTTTCTGAGGCAGTTTTCATACTATATGGAAATAAACCAAGTACACACACAAGAGTTTCAAGGTTTAAGACTAAATGTAATTAAACTAAACATAAAGCTCACCTGTTTCACTGGACAATGCAACACATTTCTAAGCATGTGTATCCAAAATATGTCCTTTTGAAGTGGGATCAAATTGAATGTGAAGCTAAATACAACCTTGTAAATAAGATAAAAAAATCTGCTAATCTCTAAATTTTCTCCTAAATTGCTAGTCTGGTGTCTTATTTAATTTAGTAGGGGTTTTATATGCGGTTTTAAGTATGCTGTTTAATGTAAATTGTCATTGTCATTGAATGTATTGTATCTTGTGTATTTTATTGCACTATTACGTACTTTTGTAAGTCGCCCAAATCCCTTTTGGGAGATGCTGGTGGGATATAAATAAATAAATAAATAAATAAATAAATAAATAATAATTATTATTATTACTGTGAAACACAACAAGATTAGTACACAGCAAACAAGATCACTATGCTGGCTTTCGTATTTAATCACATTGGACACTTCCCAAGTGTCTAGGACGGTGTGATGTATTGGCGAATAATGAGTGCAGATCCGTGTAGGGTGGCCTTTTGCAGCTGACAGAGGGTAATTTTGTCAGCGCTGATTGTGTTTAAGTGCAGGCCAAGGTCTTTAGGCACTGCACCCAGTTTGCCGATCACCACTGGGACCACCTTTACTGGCTTGTGCAAGAGTCTTTGAATTACTACTACTACTACTACTACTACTACTACTACTACGACGTTTCCATGCTGGTTATGGGCATGGAGGCAACACACCCTTCTAGTAACACAATATATTAATTTCTTAACAGGTTAGTAGGGAAAGGGAATTTACTTGCTGGATTTCTTTGTAATGCATGATTACCAGGCTACTAAATAAAAGGCTGCACTAAGGCATGAAGAGCTCATCTAAAAAAACCAAAAACCTCACGTCCCCTGCTGCAGTCCTGATGAATATTTTCAACCTATTATTTTGAACGGTAACAAAGTTCTCATTGACACAAACAACTCATTACCATGAAGTCTTCTTGTTCTAACCTGTGATTTACCATTGTCTGTAACATAAAATGAGTGCTGCCATTAATTCGGCACTTCTGCAAACTAAAAAGCCTCCAGTTATATTGTACAACTTGACATTTCTATTTCTTCTATGTACGGACACTGCCTACCAGTTCACTGTTGAAATTAAAAGATGTTCCTATACTAAGGGCAGAAAAGAACAGCCATATTACTGGGGAAGAAGCAAAAACAATGATGCCCGCTGAACACTGGAAAATTGTGAATGCTTATCATAAAAATAATTTCTGTCCCCTTTTAAAAACAAGTATAGGATGTAACTGTCACATATAATTGCTAATCCAAGCAGAATTGCAACAAACACTGCATTGTATCCTCCTTCCCAAAAGAAGTGCTCCTATCCAGGCTTAAAGCCAGCAATTCCCTCCAATGATGGCATTCCACTACACTGTCACCAACCCACATTATCTTCTTTTTTCATCACTCTATTGTAAACTAAGTCCTCAACAGACTGCTTTTGTCCATCTTAGGTTCTGGGGTTTCTTAAATAATGAGTTGAATTTGTCAAGCCTTGGGTTTCTCTCCAACATGAAATGCTCCCCCCTCTTCTTTCCCACTAGTCTTATTTTGCTACTCTTGGGTTCCTAGTAATGCCTTGAGGATATGATCATAAAAGAAAAGGGCATTTCAATCTGGTTTACAGAGATGGTTACTTGCTATTTTTATGAGATACAATCAAATTAAAACTGTACTAACAGATGTGCTCTGAGGTTGGTAATGGTTAACAATTGTAGGGTTTTTTAACCTTCCCAAAATGTAGTTATTTTTAATAAAGTGGCACCATACTAACAAGGTTTTTAAAAACACCCTTGTTATGGGAAAACATTTCTTGTCTTTACATTTTCACAAGATACTTGTGTCAAATCTGTCTCTTTTGAAAGGTTACCATTTGCACAGCACTGATGTACTGCTTCTGTTCCACATATATGTGTGCCAGATTAAGCCACACATCACTGATATCTGCGGTTGCCTCTCTCACTTGGGCAAAAACATCACGAGCCTCACGGAAATATCCTTTGTGTGCCAGCACCGCTCCTAAAAAGGAGAAGCCAAAGGAGAACTTTCAGATGTGTACACTCTTTTAAAAAATGCAGGATGCAAGAAGAAAAATCAGATGAGAAATCTGAAGACAATAATCACCTATGCCGTTAGCAGCATACAAATTCTTTGGGTCATTCCTGAGCACTTGCTTGTAGATAGCCAATGCACGATCTTGATGACGCTTTTCCTACAAACACGGTGATAGAACTCTTAGGATCTATCATGATAAACCTTTCTATTTATTATATTTTATAACCAAACATTAATAAAAAAGAGAAACAACACACGTACGCACAAATGTTGATAATTATAACCATCCAAAATACTTCGACAGGCTCAGAAATAGTTCGGAGGAAAGATGAACAAATATGAATAAAGCGGAAGAGTTGGGTCAAACATGTTTTTAAAAAACTCTTCCAAGGGACAAGTCTCTGTGCAAAGAAAACAAAGAAGAAATTCTCAAAGAAGAAATTCTTCTGACTTTTCTGAGGAGAAAAGTTCTCACTTAAGGTAAACGCACAGATATTCTGTTCCCTACTGTAGCTGCTCAAATCTATTGCAAAGTCAACAGCCTGTAAGGCATCCTAAGCAGATTATTGCTAGTAAATAGGTCCATGTGGTCAAGGTAGGCCAATGTTCAATCACTGAAGTGGCCCAATGAACACCATATGAAAACAGGAAATATTCACCTTCTCCCTGTCCCTGGTGGGCTGGTGTAGAGTCTGTAACCACACATTGCCCAGAGCCAACATTGAGTAAGTGTCATTCTGAGTTGAGGGCTGTTTTAATATTCTTTCAAATTTCTTCTGTCCTGGACCCCACTCTTGTTTGGCCAGATGAAGATTTCCAATTAAGGACCAAGCATCTGGGTGGTCCTGAAAGAGATATCCCAATATGTTAAAATCAAACCCATCTAGGCTGAATGGTTATATCTAATTCTCCTCACAGGCTTATAGAAACAAAATTAGTACAAAAGAATATTGGGTCCGCCACTGCCCATCTCCATGAAGAGATGAATGAATATGTCTAATCATTTCATGGTCTTTTTAAGTAAGATTGCATCTACACTGAAGAATTAGTGTGGTTTGACACGACTTTAACTGCCATGGTTCCATGCAAAGGAATCATAGGAGCTGTAGTTTTACAAGGTCCTTTGCCTTCTCTGCCAAATAGTGCTAGGGCCATGTCAAACTACAACTCACTGGATTTCATGTCATTGAGCTGTGGCTGTTGAAGTGGTGTCAAGCTGCATTAATCATACAGTATAGACATATCCTTTCTTAAAACAATACTACATCAATGTATTGTTGAAGGCTTTCATGGTCAGAATCACTGTGTTATTGTAAGTTTTTTGGGCTGTATGGCCAGAGCTCACAACCTCTGAGGATGCCTGCCATAGATGCAGGTGAAATGTCAGGAGAGAATGCTTCTGGAACATGGCCATACAGCCTGGAAAACTTGCAAAAACCTAGATCAAACATTTCTCCTTCTTACCCTGCTTCCCTTATGAAGAGATAAATACAAATTTCTATTTATTTTCAACAACTCATTTTTTTTAAAAAAAATGTTACATATCTTCCATACAGGTCTGATTAAAACAAAAACAAATTACAGCTACAAAGAACATATCCATGCACAACCTAACAAAAGGTTATTTCCAGATGAATATGGAAGCTGAGCTACAGAATTTCATTATGCTAGTATATTTAATCTAAATGTTCAAAGCAGGAAAAAAAATAAAACACAGAGAGTTCATAAGCAACGATATTGCCAGTGGAAAGCAAGAAAACTCTTACTAACCTGATTGATTTGAAGTGCTTCTTTAAACCAGTCAGAAGCTTCATAAAAGTTCCCTTTATCTCTAGCCATAGCTCCTAAACGTAGATAGCCTGAACACAGAAAAACAAAATTATCAAAACCCAGTTCAGGGGGAGGCGTCAAGTGGTGCCATGCTGGTGATGAACAAAAGCAGTGTTAATTGTACATTGAGTAGCTACTAATTGTTAGGTAGCTGAGCAGTGACCAAGAAAAAGCACTTGTTAGGAACAACAAAGCGATATCGGCAACTTATACACAATCCTCCAATAAATAGCACCCATGTAAATTTATGTATAGCACTGGTACAGAACAAAATGCACAATGGGAGTAATGTTCTACCCAAGAACATGGGCAAGTAATGTTCATGTTTGATGTATTCAAGTACAGACAAATGGGCCTAACATTAAATTATGATTTGTAAAATGTCCTAGTACAGATACTTTTAAAATAACTTGAAAAGAGGGTTATTCAGTGACTTATACTGACAAATTTTGACTAATCACACTCAAGGATTGGAAGAGCCATCAAGTCCAATCTCTTGCCATGCAGAATACACAGTCAAAGCATTCCCAACACATGGACCCAGTCTCTATTTAAAAACCTCAAGATAAGATTGTATAGGTTATTTGAATGCAGGAAAAATTATTTCTAATGAGTTTATGTAGTTTGGCCACAGTGCTTGACGCAAAAGAAATTTTGAGTTAAAGACAGTTTGACATACATAGATTCTTTCTATACCAAGATACATGGGAGAAAATTAAGATGAAAAATTAAAAGTCTAGTAGCAGGAAGGAAAACACAGGCAGCTGTTCAAAAATCAAAGAACTGCACCAAGATTTCTTACAGTCTACGTAGTTTGGATGTTCTCTCAGGATGTTTTTGTATAATTTTTCCGCTTCATGGAATTCACACATTGCTTCATACAATCTTGCAAGGTTGTAGGAAGTAGTCACTGAAATGGCGTTATAGTAATGCTCATCATGTTCTGCTTCTGCTTTAGCACGATCCAGAGATGCCAAGAAGTATTTCTAGGAACAAAAATGGGGACAGGAACAAAAGAACACAAAAGTTAAAAAAAATAGACACAAAGACCAATTCTAAATATGTTGCAAAACAGTAAGTAGTGGTAATAATGGGTTTCAGACCTTTGCTTCTCCTAAGTTCCCAAGCCTGAAGTGAAGCGCACCCACATTGTTCAAAATCTCTGGAGGGACATCAGCCTGTACTTTTTCCTGAAGGATTCGTGTGGCTGTACCATAAGCTGAAAGTGCACCCTGTGAAATAAAAAGATGGCAGACAGAGATTAAATAGGAGGCATAACTGTTCAGCTTTAAACAATGTAATTTATGCATCTATTCCATACCTGTATATCTGTCTGCTCTAAGATTTGTGCCAGTTCAATCCAGGCTTCGACATCATCTGGGTATTGTTCTGTCACCTTCTTCAAATGACCCTGTAAAATACAAGTATTATTTATGCATAACACACTGCCAATATACACAAAACAATAATGTTACAACCCACTTTTCAATACAAGTACTACTACATTAAACAGGAGTCAGAGGCATTTTCAAAAAGCGAAAAAATAAAACGCCAAATAGGCAGGCATGTAACTACCACCATTAAACCTAGATAAATATGACCAATTAACATTACGTAACATGATTTTTGTTTATGGGTTATAAATGTCATTTCCTAATTGGTTCTATCATAGAAACATGGGAAAAGTTTATTAAACTGCAAAACCTTTGTTTTTGCAGGACATTCTGCAGCACATTTTGCTATAGTTATTCAATTAATATCTTACAGAGTCTCAACCAATTCAACATAGTTTGTGGCAGCCACAAAAATGAAGTTTCTGGAGTATAACAACTTTTAAAGTAAGTACCACACAATTAAATAGGAAATAACACTTTCAAACCAGAAACAGATTTTTTTGCAAATTTTGTTATATAGTGTTATTAGGCATCAAAATTAACAAAATTGGCAAAAACTCAGGGTTTAAATTTTAATCATATGGTTTTCTGAGTGGAGAAGGTTAGAAACTCAAAACATTAATAATAATACAAACCATCATACAAATTTACATTCAGAAAATAAGCAATCTACACAGAGTCTGGCATTTCCTAGCAAATGGAGAGAAGGCATGCAATGTTCTCATTGCCAAAAAAGACAGCATTCCTTAAGTCTCTTTTCCTCAACATTTTACATTACAATTTTTAACAGTAAAAACACACACAAGAAGAAAAGCAACAATAGCTATGAATACATAAACACAGACATACTTAGACAACAATTGCCTAACAAACATACATTTCTACTCTACCTATAACTCTAGAACTACCAACGTATACATAAATTAGTTCTAAAAGTGGATTTCCAGCTTCTCTTTTGTTGAGCCTTCTATAAATTTAATATTTTTTCTTCCACTTTATATCCAGTGAATTGTTTATTTCTGCTTGTATAAACAGTTTTTACAAGTGAGTATTTTAACATTTGATGTCTCCAAACCTATACATAGTTTTTCCTTTTCCCTCAGATATATATTGATAAAATGGTTTCCATTCTTCTAAGAATGTGTCCAATGACTGATCCTTCAACAACATTGTTCATTTGTCTGTTTCTGTTTGTGTGTGCATATCAGGAGCAACTTGAGAAATTGCAAGTCGCTTCTGCTGTGAGACAATTGGCCGTCTGCAAGGAAATTGCCCAGGGGATCCCTGGATGTTTGATGTTTTACCATCCTTGTGGGAGGCTTCTCTCATGTCCCTGCATGGGGAGCTGGAGCTGACAGAGGGAGCTCAACTTGCTCTCCCTGGATTCGAACTGCTGGCACAAGGGTTTAACCCAATGCGCCACTGGGGGTTCCGCCTGTTTCTATTAATTCCCAGATCTTCACAGTTCAGTCTTCCATCATTCCATAGTTTGCCTTAAGTCTAACAATTCACTTATACACAAAATTTAACTATAGCCATTTGAAACATTATAAAAATTAGAAAACCGTCTGATCTATCTAGTAGCAACATTACATTACAGCCATATATTTGTCTATTTAAAATTGAATTTAAGCATGATGGAACTTGCTCCCAAGCAAACAGTGAAAAGATTGTAGCTGAAGTTTAAAGAGTGTGTTGATGATCATACCTTTGCAATATCTCTTTTATCTTGATCTTCTGAAGCAGCATAGAGGGATCCAAGAATTTTCATGGTCTCATAATTGTTTGGATAGGCTTTCAAAACTTTTTCAAAACATTGTGATGCATTCTCTTTATCTCCTCGGTAAATGTACATTTGACCCAGTCCAAAAAATGGTAACACAAATGAAGAGGAAGCAAACTGTGTAGCCTGATAATAGTACTGAAAAGCTTGATCGTAATCTTCCTAATACAGCAAAAAGAGGGGAGAAGATTAAATTTCTATATGCAATGTATACGTTATTTCAAAAATCAGAATGCAAAGTATAAAGAGGAGTTTTCAAAATGTACCTGAACATGAAAAGACCTGGCTAACTGGTAGCAGCTCTCTGCCTGCATTGCTTCAACCTCGGTATTATGGAAAGCATGAAGAGCCAAATGCTGGACCTTACCATAATCCTGTATTGTAGAAAATAAAGTTAATTTAAAAGTTTTCAAAGCTATGTTTTGAAATACTTAGTATTAGAAACTTAATTTCAAACTGATTAAAAGAGAACTCATTCAAACATGTTATTCTATATAGAAAAAAGACACACAGGAAATGAAGCTATAATACACAGCTAAAATATCAACTACTTCCAAGGCAACACATTTAAAAAGCGCATGCCAACACTTAATTCTTTGTGTTTTTAATTAAAAGATGATACACACATTTTGATAGATAGACGATAGATAGATAGATAGATAGATAGATAGATAATGAAGACATACATACAACAGATAGATTAACCTTAATTATTAAACTATCTGAAGAGTTTTCAACTAACATCATTCTGATACTTTGCAAATGCCTTACCTTTTTGAAAAAGAAGTGATTAGCCAAATGGTTTAGCACCATTGGATTACTAGGATCAATCGTGTATGCCCTAGAGAGCAACTGGACACCGTTTTTGATGGAATCAGCCTGAAAACAACATTAATACAAGTTGGTTTATTATTTCAATTGGTATTATCTTTCTGTCTTTTCTTTTTTACATTTCTAGAGCAATTCTTTTATAACCTTTTAAGAATAATATCACCTTGAAAACATCCAATCTCAGTCTCCCGTGTAAGTTGATCTATTATTTTGATAATAAATCCACTTGGTAGCCTCATGTACTTCTGCTTGATCACTTCAGCTCCAAGAACCAAAAGGTCCTTGTGCCATCTCATCCCACCACCAATACGCCCATGGGTAGAATCAGCCATACTGAGTAACTACAATGGGAAGGTATACACAACTAATCATGTGCTGAATGGGAATATGGTATTACCAGGCTCAGTACTAAAGAAACCTATTAGGGGTTATATTACTTCAAGATCAAAGAAATGTAAATATGAATTTGCTAAACTGGAAAATGTGAGGCTTTCATTTCTAATTGGTCTTATTTTCATGACTGCAGAAAAGATTAGACTTCTGATTAGACTCTCAATTAAACATAGTATTCTGATGTTACCATTTTAGGTAAAGCCTACCTCTTTATTATTTAGTTCCAGAACAGCCAGTCCAACTAAAGCTCCCACACATTTGGAGTTGAGTTCCAGGGCCCTGCTGAATGCCAGCCGAGCTTTTTCCAGCTTGCTCAGCTTTACAAAGCAGTGGCCCATGCCCAACCGAACCTCAGCTAGAAAGGAAAAAAGACAAGCAAATTCAAGATTTAGATTTCTTACAATTTACACCCCTATCTCCATTCAAGGAATGTAGATCTAGAATACTGATCAATACTATGTGCTTTGTAAAAGCTTTAGATTTCTAACAATCTCTCTAGTACTTAACTGTTTCCCCTAGATGCTGAATACATTTTTGCAATATTCAACAATGGATCTATCAGTGTTTTCAAAATACAAATTACAAAAAATGAGCTGCAGGAGGGGAGGTTATTATGTTACTCTGCACTAAAACTTCTGTCAGCAGATATCAAACAGCCCGCTGTTTGAGAGAGCACATCATACTTTTTTAACTGGATGATAATATTTTAAAGACTGAATTAAACAGTCATAAATTTACAAATCATTGCTACCACTCTGTGTTTAATCTGTTTACCTTCTATTTTTGGAATATGTTGCTTCATTTCCCCATAATGTTGTGATGACTGGGAGTTATAAACAATAAAATGAAACTGGAAATTCTAATTTAAATGATGGATTGGAACCGCTAGCAAAATTGTCTGTGCTTGGCCTTGAAAATGAGCATCAGGGTTTGTAAAATACATCTCAAAACATCTAGAAGCCACAGCATTCGTCCTCAGCCTGGATTAATATCGAACCCAGAGAATCATTCCTAGCGGCCACCTACACTGTAGGATGACTGTATGGTTCAATGCAATAAAATACTGTCAAGTCTCAATGCTATAGAACAGGCATGGGCAAACTTTGGCCCTCCGGGTGTTTTGAACTTCAAATCCCAAAATTCCTAACAGCCTACCAGCTGTTAGGAATTGTGAAAGTTGAAGTTCAAAGCACCTGGAGGGCGGAAGTTTGTCCATGCCTGCTATAGAATCAAACAGTTCGTAAACAGATATAGACTTATGCTCAGTGGGGTTAATGAGCATTTATTTTTCCCTTGTCTTCAGTCATCACTTCAAGGCAGCTATCAGCCGAGTTGTCTTGAAGTAACTCATACTTGTTTCTGCAAAAAAGGTCAGATATAGAATCCTCCTTTGGAGAAACATCTCCATTCTTTAGCAATTTGATTGCTTTACCATTCTGTTTGCCTGGGGGAGGACGTTCTCTCTTCCTTTTTCCCATTACAAATTAAAAGAGAGAGAACCAATAAGCCCGTCAGTGATTAAAAACTGCAACCAAAATATGAGTAAAATAAGGGGTAAAAATATAAATGAGTAAAATCTCTTTGTCCCTGTATTTCTTGTTTGTAGAGGGAAGGGACCATCCGGTAAAGAAGGGAAAAAAGCCTTTACTTTACCATAGATATCCACAGAAGAACTCAAGAGAAACCCCAAGTCTTCCAATAAAGGAAGTCTTCAGGGTTTCAAATTAGCTTAGATAAATTATCACTCCCTTTTGTAGAACTCAGCAAATTATCTTGTTAACATGCCTCGACCTTCAGATTGTTTAGGATTCTTAGTTTTTAGAAGATTTTAGTAAGTAACCCACGGAGCGACTTATCAGGGTGTTTCACTCCCCATTAAGATAAGGAACTCCATTATACAATCATGGGAATTGTAGATTGTAGTTTGACAAGACTTTTAACCCTCTCTGTCAAAGTGCTGGTGTCTCACCAAACCAACTCCCATGATTTCACAGCACTGACCCATGGCAGAGTGGTGTCAAATTGCATTAATTTTATCCACAGTGTCCTCCTTCATTATTAAAAGCATGATTACTGCTGGTTACCCTTACAGCCAATGAATATTACTTGCTGAAGAACAATGAAGAAAGAAATCTATGGCCTGGTGTTCCATGCAGCCCTTCAAGGATGATTTCCAGGGGGGAAGCGGGGGGGAGGCTTGTTCTTTCAGAATCTCCAGCAAAAAAAAAAAAAAAAAAAAAAGAACTGTTTCTCATGGACCAATTTGGCATGAAAACATACATTTCTCCTTTAACTTTAAAAAATATAGTTTTTCAACATCAAAAGTGGACTTTTGGTCACACTTGTATTTTCCCCAAGGGGTCATTTTGTTGTGGTTATAAGAGTAGTCCTCTTGAGTAGTCCTCTTGAGCTAGCAAGGGTAGAAAATTGCCTATTCCTGGCTTAGAAAAGTTTAGCCTGATCCAACAAGGCTCTTTTATTTTATGTCCCAAGTTCAATTCATTACATGTCCAATGAGAAAGGATCACAAATAAAAGGTTGAGAAAGACTGCAACACGGAGACCTACTGCCAAAGGTTACAGGTCTGGTCGACTGAAGCAAGTTCACGTATTAGCTTTGTGCTTTGTTTCACAAATCAGTGTATTTCCAAAGTTTGCACTCTTTTTATCAGCAGATATTGATCCAACATCCTATTCTGGCTTAACTGGGGCTACACTTAAAATGTTCTTTCTTGTTGTCAGTTTCGAAGAACAGATACAGAAAAGGCTGTCACTATTAAGTGTGAAAAGAGGCACAGCAAACCATACTGCTATTTAGCCTGCCTGAAGTGAAGGGCAGGATGTGGTGTCAATGAAACAAGAAGTGACTTCTAATTTCAAAAGGAGCTTTTATGCTTCTCACCTGGGCAGCCTGGGTTGGTTCGCAGTGCTTTTTTGTAGTACGCAAGGGCACCTCTGTAATCTTTTTTGTTGAATGAAATGCATGCCTTACCTATTTGGGGAAGCAATAGTTGATAAATACCTACTTTAATTTCACAACAAACATCAAATTAACACCAGATAACCTTTTTCACATGTTGCAAGCATACTGAATGCTGCAAAATAATTTATTTATCAATCAATTGATTGATAGACAGATTTTTTAACACTTCTCAAACAGTAAGTAAACTTAATGTAACGAGTAGCAATATTTGGACCTTTATTTGGAATGCAGTTTTCAACTTTAATGGCTATCAACTTCAAATTTCATGGTAAGTAAAAATACCAAAAACTAGGGGATCACATATCTATATGAAATTTAATACAAAATGTAGATATGAATTGCTCCCTATAAGTTATTTTGTCTAATAAAGGGACAGAAACTGCATATGTCTCTAGACATTGCATTTCAGTATTCCTCGCAATTATCTAAGCTGACTAGGACAGCTAGGAGCTGCAATCTAATATTTTGAGGGCCACACAATTCCCACCCTTGCTCTACAACAGGTCTGCACAACCAGTGGCCATCTAGCTGTTTTGAGCTCTGAGAATTCCTGGCCATTGGACAAGCTGGCTAGGACTTCTTGGAGTTGAAGGCCCAAACACCTGGAGGGCCGTAAGTTCTGCAGGTCTGCCCTACAAAGAGCATCTTTACTTCCCTCCTGTATTTTCCTGTATAATCACAGAGAGTATTAGAAAGGGGAATGATTTCCAGATTCTCTATCTATATGTGCAGTGGGGAAAATATACCTTAGAAAAGATACAAAACAAAGTCATTAAAAAAAACAAGAATTTGGAATTATCATTTCTCCCAAACTGTTTCTAAGTACTGTATCATTGTCTAAGGTATTCACAGATGTACTCTGGAGAAATCAGCATACAGGCCTCATATTTCACAAAAGTCTCACCAAGAAGAGCTGGAATATTATTTGGAGACTGGTTAAGCACAAAATGAAACTGTGCATCAGCTTGGTCCATTTTATCACCCTCCAAAAGGCAGAAACAAGCTCTTCCCAATAAATGGTTCTAGAAAAGGAAGAAACAAGAAATGGGTTTTCTTAAATATTTTCACCAAGGGAGTGTCAATTTTATATTACCCAATTCCACTGATTACTTACAATGACAGAGTTACAGACTCTCACAACAATAATTCCTGTATATTTATCTTCTCTTTGTCTACAAACTTCTCACAGAACTTCTGATGTTCACAGAGCAACTTCTGCTTCCAAGCATGATTCATTTTTCCTAACCATGGAGTACTCTTGTACTTTACATCTGGCTCTCCTTCTCTCTTATAACAGGAGTGTACAAAGCTGCCTATAAGTTAGACTATTGGTGCATCCAACTGAGAAATGCCCATAGAAATAGGAAGTAACAATCCAAGTTTTCAGACAGGAGTCTATTCAGTCAGTCAGTCACTTTATTTATATCCCATCTTTTCCCCAAAAGAAGAATTCAAGGTGACTAAAAGAGGTCCACACAGGCTGAAATGTTTCTTTCAAATATCAATGCACCATCATATTTTTTTCCAAAAGAGGAAAATAAAACATATGATTTTAAATCTAGCAGGTTACTGATGAGTGCTCTTCATTATTTTTTATTAATTTGAAACATTTAAAAATAAGGAAATGGTCCTAAATCTACCACTCATTCAGTGATCATCCACTGCTCATTGCATCAGAGTTTTTTTAAAAGAAAGAAAATGGTACTAGTCATTATGTTATTGGCAATCAATAGGATTGCCATTTACACCCAAAACTAACATGTTACAGGTGACACCATTATTTGCAATGTGCTACTTTGAAGCTCTGAATCTACCTAGACATCCCAGAGACTGAACATGTGGTCTCTTGGATGCATAGCACTTGAGTTACTGCTATAACTGAAACACTGCCCTTCTCTTCAAACACCTCTTTTTACTTGGCCTTCTAAGCAATAGATCCTCCCACTCTTTTGTCTTCTTGGCTTGTCAAACATCTCTTGTCTTTGATTAGATGTTAAGCCAGTGGGACAAAGCATTTTTGATTTTCAATTTAGCATAGTTTAGCACTGAATGGTTTTATAGGCTCTCTTCTGAAGAAGTAGTGCTATTACATATCCTTGATTTGTAGGTAAGCTCCAAAGGCACTAATAAACTTATTTTAAGTGATATTGTTGTTGTGTGCCTTCAAGTCAGTCTGAATGTATGATGATCCTGTCATGAGGTTTTGCTGACAAACTTTGTTCAGAGGGGATGTGCTGAGGCCTTCCTCTGAGGCTGAATGTAACTTGCCCAATTGAGTTTCAATGACTTAGCACCTTATGAACCTGAGAGAAAAAAACATTTTAAATGAAATCACATTAAACTAACTATATGTAAAATACAGCCATCAATATCCCAACTACATAATGGGTGAAACAAAGGTGTAAAACATATTTACTGAGGATATTTTCAAGATGACATCATCTGTTCTTACCTGATCATACATAATGATTTTATCAGCCATAGTGTACAGCAGTGTGGCCTGTGTAATAAGCTCTTTCTTGTTGTCTTTATTCTTTTCTTTGCGAGCCTGCTGAACATAGTAGGCTGCTAAAGTGTCTAAGCAAGTCATCTGATCTTTTTCATGATCTCTATAATCGAGGTTTCCATCTATTCGAGCAGCTTCCAATAGTTTCACAAAGTCTTCTGTTTTGCCTTGCTTGTAATATTCCAACTAGAAAGGAGGAAAAGAAAAACTGTTCTTTAATTCCAACACTGCTATACTATGAAGTAGTTCACCAGCTTGTTTTTTAAATAAAATGTTGCGTAAAACAGACACTGATTTGATTCTTTAGTTTCAAGAGAATTACCATCAAATCAGTATTTTTTAAACTCTGTGGTTAAAAAAGCACACATTTAGAGCAACATTATTTAAAAGAAAAGCATCACAGACAATAACATTTATTCAGTGTATGAATACAACAAACTGGCCAGATACCAACCGCTAGAGCAATCCATATGTGCAGTTGAGTGTGTTCCTGTTTAAGAATACTTATAACTTCATCCCCCTCCGGCAACTGATCAAAGTCAAGTTCAATGACCTAAAAATAAGGAAAATAAAAACAGTGTAAATATTAATAGCCCAATGTAAATGAACTTTATAATAATACAAAATCATGGATTTAACTTTAAGAATTCAGTCATACATCACTGTAGCTCAGTTTTAAGTGTGTACTTTGACAAATGCTTGTACAATGAATGTTTGTAGTCTTATAACTCAAAAAGATCATGCAAAACAACTTTCTTCACAGAACAAAGATGCAAAAATATTGTTTTGTTTGTAGTGCCCTGATAAAACAAAGAATTAGCAGAACTGCCACCTTTTCTGAATGCATGTTTGCATGTTTCCTAACAAATCTAAAATAGATACAGGACTTTAAGCACAGAAATCAGGAGTGGCTCTTAAGCACATATCTTTTGCAGTCTCCAACTCCCAGTAAGAAACAAGTGGCAAAAAGATCTATCAACATCACGGTGTCCTCTCATATAATATATGAGAGGACACCGTGAAATATGAGTGCTATTGAGGGCAAATAATTAAAATCCACTCACTTACTTTTTTCAGTCAGACACTTCATAAGATTCCTTCCACAACCCCATTTCCATGGAGCTGGTAAGGAGAATGGCAGAAGTCATGTGATTCACGCTTTATGGTTGATAAGGGAATCCCTCTCCCTGTTTTACAGGCTGAACATCCCTTACCCAAAAATCCAAAATACAACATTGTCAATATGGGTGGCTGAGAAAGTGACACCTCTGCTTTCTAGTGGCTGAATATGCACAAACTTTGTTTCATGCATAAAGCTATCAAGCCCATTGTATAAAATTGCCTTCAGGCTGTGTAAAAGGTGTATATGAAACCCAAATGAATTTTAAGCCGACATTTGGGTCATATTTTCAAGATATATATTGTGTGTGTGTGCATGCAAATTCAAGTATTCCAAAATCTAGATGGAAAATCAGAAACCCACACCACTTCTGGACCCAAACATTTCAGAGAAGGGATACGAATCTGCACTGGTAATGAACATTTTAAAACCCAAGTCCAGACATTAAATTCCTTTACACTTCAGATACACCTTATACACATAGCCTGGAAATAATTGTATATGTGGCATTTTAATAGTTGTGTGCATAAAAACAAGATGGATGCACACTAACCACAGGAAAGCAAAAGTGTCACTATCTCAGTCACCCATGTGGATTTTGGAATTCAGAATTGCAGAAAGTGAATGCTCAATATATAATCAAGAATTTTCATAATAGAAGAAAGGTGTTGAATCTGTCACCAGACTTATCTTGCTAGAAGAGGTATGTCAGTTGTTGCTATTTTTAATAAAACAGGATACTGATTATATAAATCTTTGCTTGATGATAACATGTGAGTGAAGAAATGATGCTTCTGTAGCTATAAAATCAGTTTGTTTTTGGATGCACACTAACCACAAGAAAGCAAAAGTGTCACTATCTCAGCCACCCATGTGGATTTTGAAATTCAGAATTGCAGAAAGTGAATACTCAATATATAATCAAGAATGGCTACTTGGTCTGAGTACTTAGTAGCCTGGGGATGCTTCTACATCAAGCATGGTCAAACTTCAGCCCACCAGGTGTTTTGAACTTCAATTCCCACCATTCCTAACAGCCTGTTAGGAATTGTGGGAGTTGAAGTCCAAAACACCTGACGGGCTGAAGTTTGACCATACCTGATCTACACTGTGGAAAGAATGCAGTTTGACACCACTTTCACTGCTATGTCTGGATGCAATGAAATCATGAAAATTGTCATTTATTGGGACACCAGCCCTATTTGGCAGGGAAGGCTAAAGATGTCATGAAACTACAACTCCCAGGATTCCACAGCGCGGAGCCAGGGCGGCTGAAGTGTTGTCAAGCTGCATTCACTGGACAGTGCAGATCAGGCCTGAGCAAACTCCAGCCCTCCAGGTGTTTTGGAGTCCAACTCTCACAATCCCTAACAGCCTACTGTTGGGAATTGTGGGGATTGGAGTCCAAAACACCTGGAGGGCTGGAGTTTGCCCAGGCCGGGTGTAGATGCACCCCAGACGCTGCTCAACCTCTCAGCTCTCCGGCTGGGCAATACAGAGAGGGGGGAAGGGAAGGAGCAGCCCACCTCGTCCGTGTCCCGGAGGGGGATCTCGATCGAGCCCCGAGACATGATGATGATGATGGCGGTGGTCTCTGCCCCTCAGCGCCGGCCGCGTCCCTTCCTCGAAGCCACTTGCCTCCGCCGCGCAGGCGCACTCGGGCCCCGACCCCGGAAGTGCTCTCGAGGGGAGGGGCGGTGACTGGGAAAGGGCCGTCCCTCCCTTTCTTCCTTCCTTCTTTCCTTTCGGCCCGCCTTCAACACGAGAGGCCTGGCTTCTGAGCCAGAGAGGAGCCTCAGAGGTATCAGCCTGGAATGGTTCCAGGCCGTCGTTCAGCTCCTTCAAGCGGCTTCGAAGAGATTCTGCACGGTTTGGCGTGTGTCTCCCAGGCTGGGCAAACTTGGGCCCTGCAGGTGTTTTGGGCTCCAACTCCCACCATTCCTAGCAGCCTCAGGCCCTTTCCTTTTCCTTTTGAACCTTACAGCAACTTAAAGTTATAGCACAAACAACATTGATCCTTACAACAACTTAGATAAAGTACGTTGCAACCTCTTAGTAGCAACAAGAGTGACATATCATTAGTTCATCAATTGTAGAACTGGCATCTCTAAAAACAAAAGTGTCAGGAAAAGACCGGATATTGTGATACATTCTTTTTTAATAACAGATCAGGTTCACAAGAAATCATATAATTAAAACAATCTCTCTGAGACATCTCCCTGAAAAAAGTATCAATATAAAATTTTCAAAGCCAGTGGTTGTGTGATTTGTCAGATTCACAAAGAAACAGAATTTAAAACCTTCAACCTTGCACAATTTAAAACATGTGTTGCTTAAGTCCTTAAGTTTAACTTTACAGGGCTTAGCACTTATTTATTTATTTATTTATTTAAAACGTTTATATCCCGATCTTCTCTACCTCTGCAGAGGGACTCAGACCAGCTAACAGCAAAGATTCAATGCTAACACTGAAAATCTAAAACATAATACACAACATTAAGTTATCAATTACATTACATAAATTACATAACATTACATAAAAGCTGTTCGCCAGGATAAAATCGTGTCCAACTCAGTCCGTATGTCCAATCCATATATTGTGATCAGTATCATTAGTTGATTGCCGGTCTCAGACATCATTCAACAAAAGCTTTGTTGCACAGCCAGGTTTTCACTAGCTTCCTAAAGGTCAGGAGGGAGGAGCAGATCTAATTTCATTTGGGAGGGAATTCCATAGCTGAAGGGCCACCACAGAAGAGGCCCTGTCTCTCATCCCCACCAGACACGCTTGCGAAGATGGTGGGACCGAGAGCAGGGCCTCTCCAGACGATCTTAATACTCTTGATGGTTCATAGGGGAGAATACGTTCAGACAGGTAAACTTAACATACAATAACATACACTTAACATACAATAAGCACTTTGTGAGGAAAAGATTGTGTAGCATTAACTGGCCTTACTGATGTAGACTAATATGTTTTTAATTGATTTTGCTAAGATATTATATTATTGGTTAATATTTTTAAATGTTTTATGCTGTTTTTGGCATTAAATTGTTGCCTTGTTAACCGCCCTGAGTTGCCTGCGGGCTGAGAGGGCAGTATAGAAATATAGCAAATAAATAAATAATCTTCCATAACACTAGAGGACCAGATTCAAGAGCCACATCTTCAAGAATATTGGTGACTTTCCTTTTTTGAGCAGCAAAGCTCATCCTGAGCAGAGTTTCCCATGCTCTTTTTCTTGTGTCAGCACCCTCTGGGCCTCGAAGTGGTCCCAGGATTTCCTATGGGAATGATCTGTGCAAAGAAAAAGACTGGTTTGAAACTGCATTAAATGGTCAGTGTAGATGTGTTCCAAGTATTCCATGCCTAAGAACACTCTGTGATTCATGGGGTTGCCATACATAGGGAAGCGTTGTTCAGATTGTGTACCAGGCCTAGGCAAACTTGGGCCCTGCAGGTGTTTTGGGCTCCAACTCCCACCATTCCTAGCAGCCTCAGGCCCCTTCCTTTTCCCCCTCAGCCGCTTAAGCGGGACCAAAAAAGAAGCTAACATTGGTACTCTGGTTTTGTCCCAGTGTTTGCTAGGGTCACAGTAACATACAGGAATAAAACATGCCCTATACATTTCTAGGGGCAAAACATGAAGTAGTGCTTTAAAAGGGGCCTTTCCTGACAAGCCCTGTATCCTAGGATCTGATCCCAGGTTTTCTGTTTATCCTAGATTATCTGGCAGTGCGGACTCATATAATCCCGTATAAAACAGAAAACCTGGGGTCAGATCCTGCGATATAGGGCCTGTTTGGAAGGGCCCTAGGTTGTGACTAAGTTGGCATGCACAATAATCTTACATCAGAGGGCAATTACCTTGCCAGTATGGTTTCTGGGGGAGAAAAATACCCCATGTGCTCTGGGTGTAGGCTACTGTGAAACAATTTATTCAGAAAATTTTAGATCAGGCATGGGCCTGAGGTAAGCAGCCCCCTGGGCGCTTACCTCAGGCCCTCCTTGCTTTCCCTGTCTTCTTGGCATAAGGACATGGTGGCCCATCACATCCTTATGCAGAAAGGACTGGGGAGGAAGGCATGCAGCAGCAGCTGAGAGCTCTCTGGAGCACTCTCAGCCACTGCATGTCTCACCCTCCTCCTGGCATAAGGACGGTGCGAGCGGCCCTGTCCTCATGCTGAGAGGATGGCCTAAGGAAGGCACACAGTGGCTGAGAGCCCCCCAGAGTGCTCTCGGCCATTTCCTATCTTGCCCTCCTCCCGGCATAATGCTGAGAGGACAGTCCAAAGATCAGGGGAGGAGAATTGGGGCAGTTGCCGCATGCCTCATTTTCCTCCCGGTGCAAGAATGGGATGAGGACAACTTGAGGATGGCCTGGGTCCTGCCCCACTTCACCCAGTCCCATCCTCTCACAGTCCCTGTTCTTCCCGGGCCTGTTCCACCCAGCACATTCCCATCTGCCTTTTCTCCTGTCCCAGCCCTCTTGGTCGGGCCCAAAATGTGGCCCCTAGACAAAAAGTTTGCCCATGCCTGCTCTAGATTATGAGGGGAAAGTGTAGTCTTTATAGGTGTCCCAGGAAATATGAAATCAAATCACCCAAGCAATTCTGTAAATATATAACATTTAAAGTGTTGAACCCCAGTTACCTTGAATGACCCACTGTAACAACAATCCTGTACAAACCTGGGAATGGAGGAAGCCAGTGAGGGGCCCCAGTTTCCCACTGTTTCTTCCCTATCTGCTCTGTTCATCTTCAGGAGCTCAAAGTGGAACTGTTAAGAGCCTGGCTTAAACAATGAAGACTTTCAAGGCTATAATGTAGGATGTTGTTAAGCTCTTGCCTCTGTCAAGAACTTGTGCCTTCAAGCTGTTTTCAAATCATGGTAAATATAATCTGACTCTATCATGAGGTTTTCTTGGCAGGATTTGTTCAGAGGAGGGTGTCTTCCTCTAAGCGTAGAGGGAAGTGACTTGCCCAAGTCCACTCAGTGGGTTTCTATGACTGAGTAGGAATTTGAACCCTGAACTGTCAGGCCCCATCTACACTGCTGTATAATGCAGTAGACCCACATAACACAGATTGAAGTGTATTGCACTGGATTATATGAGTCTACACTGCCATATAATCCAGTTCTATCTCCATTATAATGGCAATTTAGATGGGGCCCCAGAGTTAGTCCAGCATTCAAACTGTCTGTTAATGGTATTGGGTATACTTGTCATTTGAAACTACATAATTAATTGTGCTGGGTTCGGTTTTATTTCACTAGTTTTTGTCTCTCGTTATAAGCAGATAGAATTAAATTCCCATTTAGTTTTACAATTTCAGTCTATATTTTAGTGTTTCTATCACTGAATTAATCTGACTTGTAGATCGTATTGCAGCCTTCATTTTATATAACTTCCTCTTCTATATTTTCTATTGGTATTGTGTTCCCTGTTACTTATATGCTTTAATAATAATAATAATAATAATAATAATAATAATAATAATAATAATAATAGATCTGTTTCCACATTTTTTAGAAGTCCAGGCCATCATTTCTTAGTTTGTTTCTCCTCCATATCATTGAACCCAGTCGCAATAAAAAAAAAGTCCACATCTTATCTGGTTCTAGTAGATGTTTACTAGTGCAATTCTTCTCTGCGTCTTCATCCTCCATTCTGTCCAAAAAACCTACTCTAGGAGGGTTTCCCAGCTCTCCAGAGCAGATTACTAGTGTTTTCCAGGAACTGCAAGACTGGAGGACAGTCTTTCGAGGGATTTTTTCTGTCAAAATAGTACCAGTAGATTTGGTTCTGTTATTGCATTCAAAACTACTTTCTGCAAGTAAGTCATCCCAAGATACAGGCTATTGTAACCTGTGTTTAGGATGAGGGTTATAAGAATTCTTCATCTTGAAAGGACAGTTTTATTACATAAAAAATGAAAGAACCACATGCGATCCTGTATATATGAAATATAAAGCATGATAGGAGACTGATGGATCCGGATGGATTCCTGAGGAATCTTGGGGCTCTTCCTGCCTTGGAGCCTGGCGATTCCATCGACGCCTTGGTGACTCTCTATAATGGGGAGATGTCCAGGGCGTTAGATGTGATCGCACCCGAACGCCCCATCTCGTTGCGTCGTGACAGGCCATCTCCCTGGTTCACCGGGGAGCTGACTGTGATGAAGCATGCGAGAAGGGGGCTAGAGCGCAAATGGAGGAAATCTCGGGACGTGTCTGATCGAGCACGGGCTAAAGCCTCTCTTAAGGCATACTCCGTGGCTATTCGGGTGGCCAGGAAATCATTCACGACCACCCGTATAGCGTCTGCAGCAAATAGATCATCGGAGCTGTTTCGGGTCGTGGGGGAACTCCTCCACCCACCTGCGGTGGAGGAGGTCACTGATGACCCAGCAGCTCGGTGTCGCGATTTCGCACACCACTTTGCAGGCAAAGTCACCCAGATACGCCTTGAGCTCGACTCCAATTTCATCGCAGTGCCAGAAGAGGTGACGGAGACATCTGCTTGTCCAACCTTGTGGGATTCTTTTAGGCTTGTTCTTCCTGAAACCGTGGAGGAGATTCTTGGGGCTGTGAGGGCGACCACCTCATCTCTAGACCCGTGCCCATCTTGGCTCATTAAATCAGCCAGGGAGGGGCTGGTTGATTGGTTTGTATT